ATCTGATGGGAAAGATAATAAGAAAATAAAGCAACACGTACAGGTAAGAGTAAAATATATGATGATGTATCAGAAAATGTAATATAAATTTGGGGTAATTTCGGAGCCATTTTTTGGAAAAAACCATGGGCTATAGCCTTGGGTATTTTTAAGAATTTTGACGTTTTCTTAAAATGGCCGTAACTTGAAAAATTGAATTCGGAATCAGCTCAAACTTGCTACACAGCATAAGGACATCAATATGTATCAGAAAATGTAATAAAAATTTGGGGTGATTTCGGAGCCATTTTTTGGAAAAAACCATGGGCTATAGCCTTGGGTATTTTTCAGAATTTTGACGTTTTCTTAAAATGGCCGTAACTTTAAAAACTCAAGTCGGAATCACCTCAAACTTGCTACACAGCATAAGAACATCAATATGTATCAGAAAATGTAATTAAAATTTGATGTGATTTCGGAACCATTTTTTGGAAAAAACCATGGGCTATAGCCTTGGGTATTTTTAAGAATTTTGACGTTTTCTTAAAATGGCCGTAACTTAAAAAATTGAAGTCGGAATCAGCTCAAACTTGCTACACAGCATAAGGACATCAATATGTATCAGAAAATGTAATAAAAATTTGGGGTGATTTCGGAGCCATTTTTTGGAAAAAACCATGGGCTATAGTACAGGGTATTTTTCAGAATTTTGATGCTTTCTTAAAATGGCCATAACTTGAAAAATTGAAGTCGGAATTGCCTCAAACTTGCTATAGTGGGTTTCAGTTGAGTTTGACCACTGACCCACCCTTATAACTTCTTTATATTTTATGCTAGCAGCTTGAAACTTGGTATAGTTGCAAAACGGGTTCTTCCAAAAATCTGTACCAATTTTTGAGTCTCTGAGTACTCTAGAAGGTTTTCAAAAGGTTCTTCCGGTCAACATGAAAGGGAGCCGCCATGATGTTTCATGACGTGTAGCTTCGTGAATATCATTTGCATCTCATTAAATTTGTCAATAATCATGTTTTTATTATTTAAAAATCAAATAAAGCAAAAGGTACACTCCAGACCAAGATATAATCAAACTAAAAGACTTTGGACTCCAGAAAGAAGTCTCACTTAGTCTGCTGTACCTCTATATGCCTTCTTTATTTGTCATCACTTTGGCCGCTCAGAAACTCCGTTGAAATTTTGCATATCTCGATTCTTTCTTGAGGTAATAGCAAGCACAAAGATCCTTCATGTCAATTGCAGGGTTAGCAGCAACCAAAATAGGAAAATAAACAAGTTTCAACAAGAAGAAAAGAGCATGCTGAAGTTTGCAGCCATTTTATTTGCGTGTGGGTGGGGCTACACGTGACGTTTTGTGATGAAAACATCCAGTCAAACTCAACTGAAACCGACTATACACAACATAAGGACATCAATATGTATCAGAAAATGTAATAAAAATTTGGGTTGATTTTGGAGCAATTTTTTGAAAAAAACCATGGGCTATAGCCTTGGGTATTTTTCAGAATTTTGACGCTTTCTTAAAATGGCCGTAACTTGAAAAATTAAAGTCAAAATCACCTCAAACTTGCTACACAGCATAAGGACATTAATATGTATCAGAAAATGTAATAAAAATTTGGGGTGATTTTGGAGCCATTTTTTGGAGAAAATCATGGGCTATATAGTACAGGGTATTTTTCAGAATTTTGACGTTTTCTTAAAATGGCTGTAACTTGAAAAATTGAAGTCGGAATCGCCTCAAACTTGCTACACAGCATAAGGACATCAATATGTATCACAAAATGTAATAAAAATTTGGGGTGATTTTGGGGCCATTTTTTGAAAAAAACCATGGGCATCAATATGATGTACATAAGGACATCAATATGTATCACAAAATGTAATAAAAATTTGGGGTGATTTTGGGGCCATTTTTTGAAAAAAACCATGGCTTAAAATGGCTGTAACTTGAAAAATTTTTAATGATTTATTATTATTATTTTTGTTAGTGACATAAAGTGATGTAATATGACATCAACATTAATTATAATTACTAACTCCACCCACTTTTATAATTTTTGGGCGTGGCTGAGTAATCAATATGGCCACTGATAGTACTTGTATTCATTGCCTCCCTTGTTCTGCCTCCCTCCTGGCAGCAGGCGACAAACAACAAAGAAGATGACATTCACGAGTGTCTCCTTGGGGACACAAACCATTTTTAAGACAAACGGGCGTAGCTATATCATTCTGCGTCCTTCCCTTTGTACTGTAGCTAGTCACGGGATTATTAATACAATTTGTTGATATTTCGCAGTTTCTTTCTTCCTTCTATCTCCTGTCTCCTGCTCTAATGGCGACACAGGTTGCCAGGAGTAAATTTTTCAGAAAAAATAATTTTTTTAAATTTTTAAAAATTTTTTGCCAGGAGTACAGGGTAATTTTCAGAATTTTGACGTTTTCTTAAAATGGCTGTAACTTGAAAAACATTTGTCGAAATCAGCTCAAACTTGCTACACAGCATAAGAACATCAATATGTATCACAAAATTTAATAAAAATTTGGGGTGATTTTGGGGCCATTTTTTGAAAAAAACCATGGGCTATAGCCTATGCTTTTTTGCAAAAATTTAAATGGCAGCCTATTTTTATTGCATGTATATTGTACATGTATTTAGCCCAATTTAAAAAGCTCATACAGTGTATCATTTACTAATACACAGGATTCACTGCTAACCTCCTCCTGCCAGGGTTTGGGTACTATTCCGGTCGCAAACTTGTCAGCAAATCAGCAAAGTCCTTGTCAGCTTTCTCAATCTCTACTCCTCTGACTGAAGAGAACTGGTCAATATCTAACACATCTTTAGCATAGACTGCTCTGGACTGAGGGATTAGGATAAGAACAATAATCATTTAATTAATCTTATTATAATAATTAGGATTACTTATAGATTCAACAAGATTTTAGGATATACATGTATACATGTACATGTAATGGATAATTTCTATATAATATACAGTGTGTTACAATAACACTGGTCCTTACATTGGGTATGAAAGGTGGTGGTATGAGTCCAGCCTCTAAATGAGCAAAGTCTATCGTCTGGAAGAAAGGAAGTTCCCCTTACATTCAATAGCACTTTGTCCTTCATAGTGAAGTTATACTACCAAACAGTGGTTGATAACTTGATATATCATACAATCTCATGTAATGTACTAATGTCCAAATTGGCATAAATATGCATAATTCAATTCATACCAATTGAGTTCATTGTGAGTCTCTCGAGTAAGAGATTAAGTGTTTGTGTAGATTGATTGATTGATGGTAATGATCAGGTATCATGAAAACACTACAATAAACATTGTGTACTCGTGGCATATGTAGGTATGTACATTATGTGCATGTACACATATGTAGAGCATTTGTATGTATTGTGTATGCAAGTGGAGGGTTTTATTAAGAAGAGCTGGTTGATTACCTGTGTCAGCACAACATAACTTTTTTTGCAAAACAGCTCTACTTTGCACATCAGCCATTGGAACTCTGCATAACTTTGACGTAAAACATGGCAGATAAAAACCCATTCGATATTATTTCGTTGTATATATGGTATCACAAACTAATTCTCACCTAAAGGGGTCTATCCAGTACACACAATAGCAGTACACACAAGAGGGAGACATACAGATTGATGATTACAAAAGGTATTTAATTGAAAAATATCAATAAATTCCTTTTATTATGTCGATTAAGGGCTATTTGGATAATGAGTATCAAAACTTGGACAAAAAGAATTTGATACAGCTGGTACCCTAATCACCTCCCTACCTATGGCCCTTAGGTATCAGTCCATACACTACACACAATCAGTGGCGGTTCTAGGATTGAATTTCTGGGGGGGCCTTAATGATATGGGTGGGATAATTAGTGGGTGCGGTCAACCAGGCTTGCAGGATTTCATTTGGAAAGTCAAAATTTAGAAGATCAGGCCTCTTAAATGAGCTCCTTTGTGGTTTATAGACTGTTTACACAGTCAAGCACTGCAGCTGTTTCACAGTTTACATAGATAAAACTAATTTTATACTTCACCACAAAAATTTTGGGGGGGCCATGGCCCCCCCAGGGCCCCCCCTTAGACCTGCCACTGCACACAATAGCATATGCAGTGCAATACAATACTATACATAGGCCGACTCACCAACTTCTCTACAAGCAAACCCAATGAAGTCTGGAACACTGAACAGCATAGCCTCACTCTCTGGGTTACCTCTTTCAACCTTAAGAGGAGGAGAGAGAGGAGGAGAGAGGAAGGAGAGAAGAGAGGGAATGAAATTATAGTCCATGTGTGTCCTTACTCTGAATTCATTGTTCATTGATACAGCAATCTTAAGACGAGCATGATCTGATGTCTCTACCTATAGATAATGAAAAGAACAACTAAGGAACAATGCATTGCTCGATAGTAAAAGCCAGTATTCATTAATAAGCGACCTGGGCTAGCAGAACTAAAAAATACTGGCTTCTTTTAATAGGAAATAATAATTAATAAATATAATTTTTAATAGGGGAGGAGTTTGCTGCAACTATATAAATGACTTGAACTTTTGGAAGTCAAAGACAGTCAGACACTTCGAAGTATAAAACTGCATTACAAGGATTTACAAGCAGTGACTTCAAATCTACTACAGCCTCAGAGAGGAATTATAAATATATATAGGTCTAACTAGATATAGTCTAGGTTGGCGGAACCAGCGAATTGAGTGAAAGCATCTTGGTAGCAACGAGCTCGTATATATCTCTCTGGCTGTAGCTCATATGAGAGAAACAAGATAACATGGACAGATCATTACCCTGCTTCACCTCTTATGACCGCACTACTCCTGCTTGCTCCCTCTCTCAGACTACGGAACACGAAGACTGCTCTGGTCCCTACGGCTCGTCTTTGTACTGTGAGCCTGCAATCACTGAGACAGCGGGAGACCTGCATAGGAGCTCGCCAGTCACTACAGCAAAAGAACAACCGAAGAAGAGTCAACTAGTCACTGGAAGAATTGAACACAAGACCCTGCACCACAGGCCATCAACAACTGCTCAGAAAACTTGACTTGGACCACAGCTCAAACTGCATGCATAACTGAATGTTTTGTTTTTGTAAGAAATCTTTATTTGTATTACTATTGTGTGATTTTTGTAAGAAAATACAGACTACAGTGCTTAATACCACTTCTATAATAATGATAATTTGATATGTAGATTAGCTATGACTTTAAATGATAATTTAAATTGACACTTCACAATTCAGCATGCCACGATTAAACTGAACTGAGCTGAGTATCATCAGATCATGAAAGTATTGTTCCAGCAGTAGAACACACAAGCACATGTGACAAGAACTCTCTTTTGACTGATAAAAAATGTAACCCAAAAGATCAATTAGTTGTTGCAAGAGAATGTTTTTTATAGCTCTTGTTTGTTGTGTGTTTATCCATGGTTTATCATTAACAGGAGGAATATGTAAATGCTGTAAGGGAGCACTTACTGTAATATGATCAGATATAAAGTCAGGACCTAGCATAAGGCAAATAGTCTTCAGAGCATTCTCCTTCTTTGGTTTACCAGCTAATAACAATAAATTGACACCCTCCCCTAGTTGTACCCTCTCTCTCTCCCTCACCACTCAAACTGAGGACATTAAAGTTCTCATGAGGATCCAGCACTACAAGATCAGGACCAAATACAACACGAGCTGTCTTCTCTATGTAATTGTACACCTAAAGTCAGTGTTGTGTTGCATAGGCAGATGTATCATTATCATAAGTAGACTCACTTGAACTGCACAGTTACTGGGGCACCTGTAAGTAACTACACGAGTCTTGTCACGCTTCTATAAAGTAAGAGGAGGACAAGAAGAGAGAGGGAAAAGAGAAGAGTGAGTATACATTTTGTGTATACATTTACATGTTATGTGTGTGTAAAGTATCTGTGTGTCTCTATAGTGAGTAATATTAATACATAATGAAGAGAGAGTGTGCAATTCTTACTTTTCCTTTACTAGACTGATTAAGTGTCCCAACTGCCAAGTTACTATACTACTACAGGCTCTGTACATTCCCATAATGTTAGACGTCAAATTTAGCATAAATATACATGTACCCTTCAAAGCAACAAACAGCAGACTTGGCAAATTTGACCTCAAGTTTTGCATTCATTACTTTAATATTTCTTCTGCTAGTGGAGTCAGTTCTTTCTCATACAGTTCCTCAGCAGCTTGCAGTAAATAAGACTGAGGACCCAATATAGCACGAACCTATTGGACACACCACCAGTGTTAGTATTAATATAGTACTGTACTGTACTGTACTGTATTGGACACACCACCAGTGTTAGTATTAATATAGCACTGTACTGTACTGTACTGTATTGGACACACCACCAGTGTTAGTATTAATATAGTTATACTGTACTGTATTGGACACACCACCAGTGTTAGTATTAATACAGTTAGTAGTATAATACAGTATTAATACACTGTATTAATACTGTATCATACTACTAACTGTATACTACAGTGTAGTAATACACAGTATTACTGTATTACTGTATTATTACAGTAATACAGTTAGTATAAACCAGCACTGTACTGTATTGGTTTACCTGTCCTGATTGAACATTTCTAACATAAATCCCTTCATTCTCATTCAATGGAGTAGCTTTCCTACAGTAGAGAGATAGGAACTGTATAAAGCACATGTACACAATAGCTTGACTATACTAGAGGCCCCATCACACACACTATTAACCCCTCCCCATAGGCGGCTGCAGGATTTCACTGCAAGTAGGGCAAAGGTGTGGCTGAAAGTGGGAGTGGTCAAAAGTAGGTGTGGCCATGACCACACCCACATATCTTGCTTATGAGTTTTTAAATTTGTGAAGACTTCTATTTTAGCACTTAGTGACAAAATCCAGTTAAAAAAGGCTCTGAACTTCTCATTGAAGAGTTACCCTGCCATTCTTGTGTTCAAGAGGAGAAAATTCAGTACCTAAAAGACCTCTTTTAATATAGAGTATCAGTAGCTAGGTGATTTAGCTGTTTAATGAGTCCTAGCTGACTATGATGATTAATAATGAAGCTGCTATATGAAAGAGTCAGTTATTCTAGCTGCAGGTTACTGTAGGTTACTGTCTTCCTGAAGTGACCATAGATATGGACCTATGAATTGGCTGACTGGCTTACTGTGAATTAACCATGCAGTTAGCAGCTTATTCTCTACTAATTATCACTTTGTTGAGCAAAATAATGTAGTTTTTGTCATTAAAATTAGCTATAATGATGAATTAACCATTGTAATAACTACTAAATAATTATTAATTAACTGCTAATTATGATGATGTCATCTTCCGGTAAGAAATTCTAGTAGGGCATTGCCCTCAATGCCTGCCCCTGCAGCCGCCTATGCCCCTCCCCCCACTATAAGGACTTCCCCAGGCTATAAAAATATCTTGTCTCTCCAGCTACTTGATAACCCTTCCTACTAACCACAAGGCTTTGCAATAAATCAATACAAAACAGATAATGCACAGAATCAATGCACTCTTGACAGAATTAAATTGATTTTATGAACTATACATGAACACTAACCTCCTCTGTATGTTTCCAATCTCAGTTCTAGGTATATAGTCAGTTGGTCCATGAATCATCCACCTGTCACCAGGGGTCCGGTGTACCTTACTACCTATAATAGTGCAATGTACATATCAACATTAGTTTTCTATTTTCTGTTATACACCAAATATCAGCTTGAATGCAATTCTTGTGCTATGATAATACAGTAGGATATCAGTTGTTAAGAATATCTTATTCTTTACAACTGATATCCTACTGTAAATTCATAACACATTCTGTGTGCTTTCACAATGCCCACAGATAAATGTCAAACAAACATATGTCATTTAGTCATCATAAACTCTCTTACTCCTTCACTATGTTGGGCTGATGCCAGGCCAAACACAGTATAGTAAATAGGCCATTACTTACCATCTTCAGTAACATCATCAAACTCCTCTTGAGCAGTGACAAGAAGAGCCTCATCAGATTCTAATATAATAGCATCTTGTATCCCTCTCTCAAACTTCTCACCTACAAAGGGGAAACAAAGGGAAAGAATAACATGCATACATGACACCTGGACAAGAGCACACACACTTTAATTTTGTACATTGCCAAACAAAGGGCATGCATATACATAACATATCAAATCTCTCACTACATGTACATTTATAACATGTACGTACAATGACAATTGCAAATCATTATAATGAAATCAATGCTTCTTTAATATTAAATCAGTTACCAGGATGAAGGAAGAATGTCTTGGGTCCTTTCCTCAGTTCCCTACAGCCAAGACGTGGTCTACCATCATCACCAAGAGGGTTAACAACCACACAATACTGATGGTGGGATAAAACAGTCAACTGGACCTCATTCACTACCTCCTGTAAGATATATAGAGGGAGAAGGAGTAAGAGTGAGAAGAACATAGTGACTGTTTTGATTAATACCAAGTCACTTTTAAGCCATACAAAGTCTAGAGTGTGCCAAGTTTGCCAACATGCTGTACTCTAAATACATTCTTGATACACCTTGTTGCTTGTGACAAGGAGAAATTGTTATGACTTATAAAATGAGCAGGCAATAATGTTGTGTATAGTTATAAGATATAAAGTGTTTCCTTACCTCAGTGACATCAGGTATATATGATTCAGTGTCATCATATTTAACCAGCCACTCCTCTCCAATCCTTCTCCCCCTACCAAACTGATCAGTGAAGTTACAGTTGGCTCTAATGTGTAACGCATTGTTTGGTGTTAGGGTGTAAGCATCAACCTCCTCTACTACCTAAAGAGGGAGATAGGGGGAGAGGCTGTTAATTCAAGTTGTAAGAGGCTGGGTTTGAATCAAATGGTGGTAAGACTGCTGGGGCATTAGGATCAATTTTAATACAGGAGATTGCAATTGATGGTAGGATCAGTTTTTAATTTTTGTTGAGTGGGTGGTTCTTGATTACTCTGTTATCACAGGGAAGGTATATAGTGCAGTTATTATGATAAACATGCACTATAAGGTTGATTTATTGGTTGCCAAGGAGACTGCTTCATGACCAAAGTTATGACAATGTCATAATCATAATTATCAAACATACAATACTTACAAGCAACAATCAAGATACATTGTACATGTACATGAACTATATCTTATACTATGTATAATCCTCACCTCCTCATATACATCAGGTAGATAAGCTCCAATATCCCTCACCAGCCACTCCTCACCAGTGCAACGATAACTATTAATAATAAATCAATTAACCAGTGGGTGTGGTTAGTCTTACATTCCCTTAGCGTCAGTGAACGCTTGACGAGCTCTGAGACGAACAGCATGACCCGGAGTTATTATAATAGGAGACACCATCTTTACTACTTGCTGAGGGTAGAGGAGGAAGATGATGCACTTAGAATGAGGTACCTCTAATTACAATGGTACATAGTGTGTGGGTCAATGGAATGTAATCTATCCATCATTAGCATTTGCAAGGTAGACAATGAATCTGTTATGCTGCTAGATACTTAACAAGAGGCTATAGTCTGGCTAGCATGAAGCAATGATGCATTACAATATTCCATATACACCATTGAACATGAAGACCAAAATATGCTATGCCATACATATATACTACAATACAACACATATTATACTGTACATGTAGCTATCAGATATAAATTAAATTAATTACAAATACAACTAGACTATATTCACTCTCCACTCATCCATCTATTTGTTAATTAAAATTGTTTTTGTTACTTGGAAATAACATGTACATATAATTACTCCTGACTGAGCTGAAGCCATAAAGTAGAGTGAAAACAGTCAATACTACATTACTATTATTACATTACCCACAAAAATTAAACCAAAAACATGGCCAACATAGCAAGCACAATGAATATGTGTATTACTGTTAATGCTGACCTCTTCTGGTTTGGGTAAGTAGGTCAATGGTCCTCTCAGCTGCCACTCATCCCCTGCCTTACGAGCTGGGGCAGTATCAGTCTCCTCCATATCAACCAGAGCACTCAAGTGAATCCCATGATCTGCTTTTATGGTTGGAAGATGCTTAATAGCACGAGAATAATCTAATGGAGAGAGAGAAAGGAGAAAACAGAGTGATACAGGATTAGATACCGTATACGTCTAAATTTTCGAGGGTTCAAATTTTTTTTTTTTTAAATTAAATTTGCTCAAAAGTTGATATTCGTGTGAGCTAATTTTTGTGTTCTGGCCATAGTCTACATACAATAGAATGGCATTAGAGGTGGTTTAAATTTCGTGGATTTAAGGTGAGCACGAAAATAACGAAATTTAATACACCTCGAAAATTAAGACACATACGGTATACATGTAAACACTCTTTTTTAATTATTGTACATGTACTGTATGTATGTTTGTATACATTCTAGCAAGTGATTTCAGAAAAGAGATACTGTTTCCCTAGTTTATATTTACAAACTATGTAAATGAACTACACTGTTATAAACATTAACATTATGTATACAAGATACAATACATTATACATTATGACACGAGACTGACACATTATGTATACAGCAGAGTAACATTGTTAACATTATGTATATAGTGTTATACATAATCTGAACTATGCACTTGAGGTGGGCATTCATGGTGGGCTACTCTTATTGCCATATAAGAGTAGGGTACACAACCTATTTCCGACTAAACCAACTAATCATTAGTGATACAATGCAATGAAATAAATAACTTAGGAAATGGTCAATGGGAGATAAAGCAGAGAGAGAGAGGAACAGGCAGTGTATACACACAGGACAGTATAGCAATACTCTGCTGTCCTGTGTGTATACACTATGGTAGTACTCTATTAATATCTTATAGTGTTAAGATGTGGTTCATTGTAAGACACTCCTAAATCCTTATGCTTGTTAGAAGTAGGTCCACCCCTATTACAATTCAGAGATACATGAACATGTATATGTACATGTATATGTACATGTACACCAGTGTTTTTGATGAGCCAAATTGTTTGGCTCAATTCAGTTTGCTATGGGTCACAATTACCAATGCCAGTTGAGTATAATTTGCTCAGGAAATTCACAAAAAATAATGTTAATTCTGCCATTTTTACAATAAACATTAATAAATAAGAACCTACCAGTTGCACTGCCACTCTCAGGTAATCTCTCTCCAGGAAACAATGGGAAAGGATCCTAAAGAAAATGACAAGAACATTAACATGTAAGGAGTTAATCTAAGCAACTAAAGCAATAGACTTTATTAGACTATAATGAGAACATTAACATAATGTTATGCAGCTAATTACAAACAATAGGAAGCATGTGTTGTGTCTACACAAGGAGAATTCCCTAACCTATCCTCTGATGTGTGTGTGTGTGTGTGTGTCATCAATAGCTATGAACACGAACACACACACACACCTCCAGGCAGGCCGGACTGTATCTACAATACATGTACATGAGTGAATGAAATATCTACAGCAAATGAGGTAGCATTCAAACCAAGTATTACATATTCCTTGCATCTTTATTACTTTCATGATCAGAGGAATGAAGAGGAGTTAGTTTATCATTAATGCTCTAAGCCTTCTCTTCTACTGCTAGAGAAGTCTTTGAACAAAATCAGAAGATCAATAGTAATATTAATAATTAAAGGGGTTTACCCGCTAAGAGAGGGTGTCCATGCCCATATAGAAATGTAATTATTATTTTAACTAAATGCATACTTTACCAAATAAGGAAGGTGCTACTAGCCACACCATACACTAAATATGTAATTACATCTAGAGGCAGCTAAAGGTGATCATGATTTCAATTATTATTATTATTATTATTATTATTATTATTAATATTATTATTATTATTATTATTATTATTATTATTTATTACTTACCCCATGGAGTCTTATTTCTCTGTGTCCAAATCTCAGTTCGTATAACTTCCCATCAACTATTGGTTTACTATTGGGAACAGAACCAAAGTAAAGTACATGTAACCATACAACATGAACATGAATTAATGAACCATACAGTACATGTACATGTACACATGAATGTAATAGCTACTTTATATACATTACATATAGCACCTCTAGCTCTCTCTCTCTTCATTTCTCTTTCTTTCTTTACATCCACTGTAAAGAAATAGCTAATTTTTGCAAGTTAAAAAAAAATTCATGTGTTCAGTTCTTAATTTGGCAATATTTCAAAAAATTCAAAATGACCCAAATAAATAATTTCGACCTACTCCTAATCCCAGTTATACATGTACATGTACATATGCACAAGCCCCACCCCTTACTTGATATCGATGGGATGTTCCACTCGGCAGTAGTGACCAGGGGGTATAGTAACGAAGGGAAGAGCACCGGCTTCAAGAGAATGATTGTCCTGTAGGACAAGATTCTGCGGTCCAATCTCCACAGTAGTTATATTAGTATTCTGTAGAGGGACAGGAAATAGAGGGAGAAAGAAGAAAATTGACATTATGTAATGCTACCAGTCTCAGTGAGTGATCTTACCAGGTCTAGTACGTGCACGTAATAGTTAGGAAGGATCCCAATTATCTTACGAGACATGGCGACTGGACAGTCTTCTGATAAACCTAAGAGAAGTGAAAGTTAGCCCTTGGCCCCTTGCCAAAATAATTGCTGCAATCTATTCCC